ATTAAAATAGGAGCATTATGATTTAAATCTAGATGCTTTGATCATTGAACTATCAATCGGATTAAAGTATTGTTATAGCCTCATTATGGCTAAATTTTAAGATTGCAGCCAGATTGTGATTAAACAATCAGATTTTTTTGAGAATTTCACCTTGTACAAAGCTTCATATTTTTATGGGAAATTCAAAATATTTAATTTTAGGAAAGTATTTCATTTTTTAATAAATATAGCTTCAAATATAAAGTATGGCATTAATATAAGTATGTGATTTTATGTGATAGAAAAAGACTGATTAAAATTTGAACGAACATATTGAGGAATATGAAGGGGAACTATATGATAGAAGGAACTACAAACTTATTTTAAGCAAATACTTAGTAAAATTTACTAAAAATATGAAAATCAAATACATATCATCTGACGGAGCAATTCTTCGGACGTTAATAAATCTAAACTATTATAGCGATAATATTAGGCAGGATAAAAAACAATCAGAAGTTTTAAACAATTTAGAGCAAATTAAACATCTATAATGGCATGGTGATTACGGAGAAAATAATAATAAATTAGGGAAGTGGCATGCTCTTTGGAATGGCGAAAATTTACTTGACACTGGTGGATATTATTCAGAAGATGGAAAAAAATAAGGATTGTGGAAAGAATTATCAAAAAATTACTGGAGGTAATTTGAGGTTTATTATTATTAGTAAATTTTAAGCTTATGAAATTGGTGAATATTAAAATGACAAGAGAAGAGGAAGATGGAAATATTAATATTACGGTTTAGAGATGTATTAATCAAAATAATTTATTTATCAGTCAAGGTGGAGAATACAATGAGTAAGGATAAAAGAAAGGTAAATGGATTGAGTTATGGAAGTATTCAAAATTTATATTATAAATCAGTAGCAAGAACTTGGTAACTTATGAAGGTTAATATGAAAATGGTAAAAAATTAGGGTATTGGGTTATAACTTATGAGAGAAAATAGATGTAAGAATAATGATTAATAAACTCGTTAAGTGGCAATGGATTGTATAATTATGATGCAAGAGAAAATGAAGGTGAATTAAATACAAAAAACGGGTTTTGGACAGAGTTGAGTGATAAATTTTCAATGTATTTGGATTTCATTTATTTAATAATAGAGATAATTAAATTATTTATTATGGCAAATATAAGAATGGTAAAAAAGTTGGAAGATGGGATGTATTTATAACGCGTTACGATAAAAAAGAAATGATGTAATATATAGCTATAAAAAATATAGAGGTGGCGGTTCATATAATTATGAAGGAGAAAAAGATGGATAGGGAAATGTTAAAAATGGAAAATGGATTGAGTTGAGTGAAGGATTTAATTGGTATTAAATTTTTTTTTTTTAATAATAGGAATAGTTAAGTCATTTATGAGGGCGAATATAAATAAGGCAAAAAAATTGGTAATTGGAGTACTTTATATTGCCACAGAATTGACAAAGAATTTAAATTGATGTAAGTGTTTAATAATCGATAAACAATAGTGGTGGTGGAGTATATGATGAAGAAGAAGTATAGGGAAATTAAAAAAAGGATAGTGGATTGATTTGATAGATGGCTATTTTTTTGAGTATTTGATTGATTAATAAGGCAGTGAGGGTTAAGCAATTTATAAAGGTGAATATAAAAATGGAAAAAAAGCTGGTAGATGGGATATATATTGGAGATGCATAAGGACTGAATGGAAGAACCATTATAAGTATAGTAACAATACTGAAGAAAAATTTCAATAAATGTAATAAAATATGATTCATAATTAAAGTGGAGGGGGAAATTATGAGGAAGGAGAGTCAAAAAATGATTTGGAAAATTATAAAAATGGATTTTGGGTTGATTTTTGTGATTTATCTTCATTGTATTAAAATTTGGATTATTTTTTAGTGGGAATTATATCACATATTGTGGGGAATATAAAAATGGGAAAAGGTTTGGTAATTGGGATATCATTTTGAGAAATTATTTTGATAAAAAAGTTAAGATGTAATAATAAGCTTTAAAAATTAGCGGTGGAGGTTAATATTATAATCAAGAAGGTAAATATAATTTAAAAAATGGGAAATGGATTGAGTTGGATGATGGATGTAGCTGGTATGCGATTGAATTATTTTTTAAGGAATCAAGTTATTTATAGCGGTGAATATGAATTTGGAAAAAAAATTGGTTATTGGGAAATTTTTTAGATTGATTTGGGTAAAAAAGAAAAGATGTATTAATAAGTTTTACTAACAATTATAGTGGCGGAGGTTGCTATATTAATGAAGGATAAAATGACGGATAGCAAAATTAAAAACATGGAAATTGGATTGAGGTCAAAGAGGACTTTCATCATTAGTATTGCATTTTTGAAATTACTTTAATTCTAGTTTTAATTAATCAACTTTTTCGGGTGAATACTTAAATGGCAAAAAAGTTGGTCTGGTAGTTGTATGATAAAAAAGAAAAAATGTATCATAAGTGGTTTAATTAATAGGGGTGGTGGATTGTATAATAATTAGAGAGGATATCAAGGATAGAAAATTGGATTGTGGATTGAACCTTCCAATGAAAATAAGTATATTTTAGCATAATTAAAGTCAAATCTATTATAAAGGCGAATATGAAAATAGTAAAAAAGTTGATAAATGGGACACACTTCAAAATGGAGCGATAATTAATATGAATCTATATAAAGACAATCAGCTTCTAAATAATTATTTATTCGATATTCTAAATAGAAAAATAGGAAAATGGATTGAATGTGAAGGGTTTAAATTTTACTTTTTTATTTTAGGTGTATATATTTTTATGGTTCATATAAAAAAGGTAAAAGAGTTGGTTAATGGCAAATTTATTCTAAATGCTTGGAAAAATTTGAAAAAATGTATTTAATATTGATAATATATCAGAGGCGGTGGAATTTATGATGAATAGGAAGGAGAAGAGAATTGTAAAAATGGAAAATGGATTGAATTAATTAGTGGATATAATGAGTATTAATTTTGGAGTTTTCATTTTTTTATCTTAGTTCAAATTAAATAACTTACTCTGGTGAATATATGAATGGTAAAAAAGTAGGTAGATGGGATATCTTTAGGAAATTTCAATAAATGTAATGAAATGGTTTATTAAATTTCAATTAATAGTGGTTCACTAAATGAGAACAATTAAAAAGTTGGATTATGGATTGAAGAAATTAAGAAACCTGCTCCCTAAAATACTTAAATTACAACTCTAATCTATAAAGGCTAATATAAGAATGATCAAAAAGTTGGTAGATGGGATATATTTTGGAAATATGATGGGAATATTGAAAAGATGTAATAATAAGTACTTTAATAAATAGTGGTGGTGGATAGTATGGCCTTTCATCAGGAAATGGAGAAGAAAAAATTGGGAAATGGATTGAGCTTAGTGATTTATTTCATAAGTATTGAAATGTGAATTAAATTCAAAATAGGAATGATTAAGTAATTTATGTTGGTGAATATAAAAATGGTAAAAAAATTGGAATTTGGGATGAAATGAAAAGGGTAAACAGATGGAAATAATTTATAAAAATGTAAAATTAAGATCAAATTAAATTAGGGGTTAATCAAAATATCGAGAACAATTAACCCAAATAAAAAGAAAATGAAGTGGATGGATGAAGAATACCCAAAATTAATGATAATTTCCAAAAATTAATCAAAATTTTTTATATGCTTTTTCTTTGTTTTTGAGTATTTTCTCAATGGGAATTATACTGTAAATGGAAGATTTATGTTTCGAGAAGTGTTTCTTTTAAGGTGTCACTTCTGATCTCTTGGGTGAGGATTTTTTTTAAAATATATGTATTTTGTTAGGAAAAAAAATATTATTAACTCAAAACAATCAATATATTAGAACTAAGCATGAAAATTATTAAATTTTATTTATGTCATAATTACTGTATAAATAAAAGCTATTCATCAGATAGAATGACTATTCCCTAATGTGATTGTTAAACTGAATAATTAATAAATTTTCCAAATGCTTAATGTGAGTAATGCTACTCTCATATTTTTACATGTAAATAAGCTTTTATAGACTCCGCTTACAGTTGAATTTTTATAGTTGTATATAACATTTTGCATATTAGTAATTACCTTAAGAGTTAAATTATCTTATAAAATTTAGAGTTGAGGTTTGTATTCTTTATATAATTTAAAAGTTAATTTGATTGAATACTGATTCAAAATTATATTAAAAAAATCTCCATTTCAAATGACTCTTTATTTTTAAGTTTCTTTGATAGCTAATTCGAAATATTGTTAAGTTCAGAATCTTTTTGCAATTTCTAAGTATTTTCCCTGATATATAAAATAATTTATCATTGATTATGTAAACATCTCTCAAGTTATTGTTAA